CGATTGTGGTGGAGCCCTGTGCACTGACTTGCGAGAAGGACAGTCCTCATGACCACAGGAGCGGCTCGCAACAGGTTGGCGGCAAAGACTTGAACATCGCCGGCGAAAGCCCGAGGGATTGCCTGGAGCGGCGCCAACTCATTGTGCATAACGCGCAGGAGAGGATCAAGACATAACGCAAAAAGCGCCCCCGACATCGGGCATCCTTGCTTTATCCCCTGGGTAATACGGTATCCTGGGAACCGCTTCCCACACAGACTGATTTCGGTAGAAATCTCGGAATACACGAACTGGATCGCTTTGATAAAAGAACTCAGGAACCCCCATCAACTTTAGCACATCTATCCACTCGTGGCGTAGCGATGGGAAGGCGGCGCGAAAGTCTAAGAGTAGCATGCCTGCGTAGTGTTTTCCACGGTAGCAGACGTGCTCAAGAATGCCCGCTTCGAGGCACATAATGTTATCCAGCATGGATGTCTTGCGAAAAAAAGCCGGCCTGGGTGCCTAAAACGCTGTACTGGCATTGCTGCTGAAGGAGTTCGGCAAGAGCCAACGACACAATCTTATTGTCCGTGCTGCTGAGGGCGATGGGGCGAACCACGGAAGCTTTACGAGTCACTTCGGGGAGGCTGGCTTCCGCAGGCGTAATCACCTTCGGTAGGAAGACTGTGAGGGACTCCTTGAACCCGTGGCACACACAGCTAGGAACACCAGGGTCCCCAGACGAATGGGCAACACTGGGCCCCACAGAGCCGAGGCCGTCAGAGACAACATTCGGGTCGTGCAAGACTGCGAGATACACCTGGTGCAGGGCCTCATGAGCAGCTTCGCCAGCACAACGCCATGCACTATACGGTACCCCTTTTGGACCTGTAGCGGAGTCCCGTCTACCATTCAGCATGATGATGATGATGATGATGATGATGATGATGATGATGATGATGATGATGATGATGATGATGATGATGATGATGATGATGAGGGTGATGGCGGGGGGAGGGGGAGCAGGCGGGAGGAAAGAGGAAGGAGGTGGGAACACGGGGCGCTGTCTCTTCAAAACGAGGACGGAACGGAACACCACAGGATGGCTGGAAACAAGCAAACCGCCCGAGGCATCCTCGCAATCTGGCCCCCCCTGGGGTGCGAAAGCCAACGCCTCGCCCGAGACATCCTCAAAACCTGTTCCGAAAGCGGCGGGTTCTGTGGATGTCTCGGGCGAGGCGTTGGCTTTCGCACCCCAGGGGGGGGCCAGATTGCGAGGATGTCTCGGGCGGTTTGCTCGGTTTGCTGGCCAGAGTCGTTTGCGTTCATAGCAGATTCTGGCGATGTCTTGGGTGAGGCGCTGGTTACAGCACGCCCGAAGGGGAGCCGCCAGGGAGTATCTCACTCCTCCGTTCGCGCCCAGATTTCGGGGATGCCTCGAGTGGCTTGGGGGCGCAAACAAGCAAACCGCTCGAGTCATCCCCGCAACCTGGGCGCGGACGGAGGGAGGAGTGCAATACCCCCTGGCGGCTCCCCCCTGGGCGTGCTGGCACCAGCGCCTCGCCCGAGACATCCTCAAAGCTGCTCCATCACCATCACCAGCGCCATCTCATCATCAAAATCACAATGACCGTCATCATCATCATCATCATCATCATCATCATCATCATCATCATCATCATCATCATCATCATCATCATCAGCAGCAGCAACAGCAGCAGCATCATCATCATCATCATCATCGTCATCATCATCATCATCATCATCAGCAGCAGCAGCAGCAGCAGCATCATCATCATCATCATCATCATCATCATCATCATCATCATCATCATCATCATCATCATCATCATCATCATCATCATCATCATCATCATCATCATCATCATCATCATCATCATCATCATCATCATCATCATCATCATCATCATCATCATCATCATCATCCTCATCCTCATCCTCATCCTCATCCTCATCATCATCATCATCAGCATCAGCATCAGCATCAGCATCATCATCATCATCATCATCATCATCATCATCATCATCATAATCATCATCATCATCGTCATCGTCATCGTCATCATCATCATCATCATCATCATCATCATCATCAACATCAGCATCATCAACATCAACATCAACATCAACATCAACATCAACATCAACAACAACATGATGATGATCATCATCACCACCACCATCATCACCACCACCACCACCAGCACCATCATCATCAGCATCATCGTCATCATCATCAGCAGCAGCATCATCACTGTCATCAGGATCACCATCATAATCAGCATCATAATCAGAATCATCATCATGACCACCATCATCATCACCACCACCATCATCATCATCATCATCAGCAGCAGCAGCATCATCACTGCCACCATTATCACCATCATGATCATCATCCGAATCATCATCGTCATCATCATCATCATCGCCACCATCATCACCAGCGCCTCGCTCGAGACATCCTCAAAATCTGATCCACCAACATCATCGCCACCATCGTCATCATCATCATCATCATCATCATCATCATCATCATCATCATCATCATCATCATCTTCATCTTCATCGTCATCGTCATCGTCATCGTCATCATCACCATTGTTGTCATCATCAGTATCAATGTTGTCATTATCATCAACCATACCACCATCATGCTCACTAGGATCACCACTAACACCATCATCACCATAACCTGCGTAGCGACCCTGAGTGTGACCCTGAGAAAGAGGAAGAGGAGAGAAGAAGGAGGAAGAGAGTGAGGAGGGAGGTGAGTGAGGAGCCGGCGCGGCTGGAGTAAGTATCAGTGCGCGGAGCTCCCCATATATGCATTTCATACCTATGACGCTTCTAGCTGAAGAACTCTGTCTGGGAGCATCCGGGTCTAAGACCCCACCAAGGAGAGAAGACTGAGTTCATCGGGACATGAGTGATCTGAGCGTGAGTGAATCTGAATGTGAGTGAGCCTGGAGATGGTTGAGTGTGAGTGTCAATGAGTTTAGGCATGACAAAGTCTGAGTACGACTGGGTCTGAGAATGCGTAAGTCTGAATATGATTGCGTCTGAGCGAGGGTGAATATGAGTGTGGGTAAGCCTGGGTGTGAGTGGGTCTGAGTATAAGTATAATGTATACGAATATGAGTCTGAATGTGTCTGAGTACGAATGAGTTTGACTACGCGTGAATCTGAGAGTGGGTGGGTCTAAATGTGAATGATTCTGGGTGTAAGTCTGAGTGTAAGCAAGTCTGA